TTTTTTGCAAAGAAATTTTAGTTACGTTAATATATCAAAATGAAAAATCAGAATGCATATAAAAACAGGAAAAATTATATTGAAAAGTGGCATATCTTTAGAGGATGGAAGCACGGGTGTAAGGTTTGTGACGAATGCGATCATCATTCACATCTATATTGTAGGACATGCAAAAAAGTAGCAGAGGGAATATATAAGCGATGTGTACGTTGTGAAAATTCTTGTTAAAACCTGAATTAGCGATGATGATACTTAGAATTTATCGTTATCATACATAATTTGTCCGCGTAATAATTCCGCATAATGAAATTTATCTGTATCACCTTACAAGGCTTCATAACTAATTTGTGAGACGGGACACAAGTATCCATTGCTCTGCAATAGAAATTGCCATCTTCTGGAATTAGTACCCTAACCAAAGTCGGACAATTAACTCATGCCATCTATTCTTCATTTTGTGGAAAATTCATTCCCTTGCCTGTGCTTTTTTTACATAGTAGATTATCTGTGCGACAGAAAATTCACGGGCCAAAAATGGTCGGATAACTTGTGATATATGCATCGATTTCTATTTTCAAAATTTTTTGATGTAAGAATGCTTTCTTGACTAACCTCCTATACATTTTGAGTTTCAGAAAGATGCATAAATAGGGCAGTATTTTAAATTTACAGTTATTTATCGCTTTGTAGTGATTTTATTGTTTTCTCATTATCATTAACTTACAGTTTATTGTCGTCTCATTAATTTACAAAAATATTTGCCATGAATAACGACTTGTACGACGACTTGTACAATAAAATTTGCAATTTTTTGCTAAATGCCGAGAAAGAAAATATTACCGCTGGATCTGTTATCTATAAAGGAATCGAAGATAATCCCTGGATAACTAAAAAAGAATTGAAAAATATTATTAGACAAGCTGTAGCATTTGCGGAGGAACATTCCTCACATAAGAAGACCCTTTCCGACATTCTAGTTGAGGTAAGATTTCAAATCTCATGGGGCAAATAGAGCACTTATTTTGAATGATGATTACGCAGGCAGTGGTACCGTTCTGAGGAAGAGTGCATAACAGCCTAATGTTCTATTAGCCCACTCACAGGAAAATTTTTCCTCGGCAGTGTGGAGAATTTTAGGGTGTAGAAATATGCTCAATTCTATGTGGTTGCTTTTAGTATCACATAAAGTCTTGTTTGTGTGTTGGAGTAGCTAACCACACATGAATAGGGCTTTATTATCATCTGACAGCGCATGCGCTTTTGATAATTATATTTTTTGTTACAAAACTGTCTGTAGCTTACGTAAAATAGGAGCGGTGAAAATTAATAAAGAAGGACCTCTTAATTCGAATCAAATCCAAAAAAATATTAATGCACTAAAGGGTAAACTTAACAAGGGTTCAGCACTACTTAAGAAGAATGTGGCAGTACTTTACGAGAAATTACTTCTCGGTGTCAATCAGGTTTCTATTTCTAAGTTGACTTGGAAAGACCCTCTTGCGAGTCAAGTGATAAGTGATGATTCAGCTCTGGTACAACAATTGCCAGATCGACAAAAGGAACTTTTTATGGTGAATACTAACACTCTAAAATTTCAATGATAATTTTGTTTACTCATTAATTTACGCTATTATTAGAAACCAAAAGATGATATGGTCCCTTCGTCACTTCCACAAATTATACGAGATAAATGCAATGAATTCGTAGAAGACTTTGTCAATGAAGATATGGATATTTTACCAAGACAACTTAAGCACGATGGATCATGGAAAGAACCAGATGAGAAGCTTACAGAGATTGCATCAGGAATTTTGCATGCTCTTAATGATGCATGGAACAATCCCGCATTCAGTCCTGAGTTTGCAAAATTGCAAAGCGAAGGTACTTACGTGACCAATGTAGTAGTACCTGCTATTCGGGCTTCATTAAAGGATCTTCCTTTCGGAAAATCTACTTTTGTTAGCACGTAAGTCATTACAATTAAAAAATGCCATCATTACAACCCTTTTTTTAACTTTTTTTTTACTGGTAATCGTTTTTAGTGCGGAGCATCAAAGTTCTGCCAGTGCAGATAGACGAGGTGAAGGACGGTCAGGAAGACGGCCCGATATTATGTTTGTGGTAAAATGTGGGGAAAAAAATTACGAGCTCATGTATTCCGAATGCTCACGCCTGTCTTGCACGCTACAGAAAGATACAGACGATGAAATAAAGCTATGGCGTGAAGCTAATGACGGAATGTACTGGGCTCACAAATCAATTAAGCCTGATAAGGATGAATTCGGAATTGTTGCGATCCAAGTAGCCGGATCAATAATACGATTAAATTTTCTCATTAGGGATGTGGCTAATGTGCATCGATATTACCATCTCTATGAAGCAAAGATTCCTGTGCAACAATCCGATTCATTCATCGTAGAAAATTTTGTCAAAATTTTATTAACCTTACGAAACATTATAATTATTAACATGTCTTTACTATTTCATGCACCACCATCTAGGTCGAAAAGAAACAAAAGTAGTTCAACAGTGGATTCTGACTAGAATAGAAAATTGTTTTTCTATAACAATAAGGATTACATGTATCAAAAATATTTTTATTTACTAATTGTTCTTTACATATTCAGAATTAGAAATAAAGATTAAGTTTATAACTGTACATAATCTGTCTGTATTTTATTATATAATAAAGCTGGCCCTGGTGGCTGATTTTGCATACATAATCGCGTTTACTTTTGTTTGTATATTTCGTGAATTTATTTTATCATTTTTACAAGTGTATTTTTGAGATTAATCTGGATACATTAATATCATTGGGTATACGTTATCGAGAATTTTTCTTGACATTTTACACTTCCTGAACTTAGTTCAGGGATTTTTATCACGTGATTTATATCCCCACGATAAAGAATTGAATATGTCTGCACCTTATATAAAACGATGGCAGACACACAATATACAATTGTTTCACTAAGAGAATTAAATACCAAACTTACAGTTGAGATTAGTGAACTTAGAAAGAAGTATGCTGAGCTTGAAGCTAAGAATATCAAAGTCGAAGCTGAGAATGCAAAATTAAAACAAGACAAAGAAGAGGTTGAAGCCAGATTCTTGAATCTAGAGCAGAGAGATAGAGAAAAAACTGGCCTTATCACTAAACTGAAACATGATGTCTCACTAATCAAGGAGCAAAGCTTGCAAAACGGGGGCAATGGATATACTGATAACGCATCTGATGATGCAGAGTATCGAACATCTGATTCTGATATATACCAAGTAAAGGATAACTGTTCTTCTATACTCCCTGAAACAAATCATAATCGTGAAGACACCCCCGCATTTGATATAACTGACGATACTTCAAATTCTAACATATATCAAAGATTCAGCTGGAGGCTGGTTCACATCAATGCTCTACATCACCAATTTGTATAAAAAACAAATCTTCAGAGGATAAAGTGATCGATGAATTTCTAAATGTAAAAGAAAAGGAAAGGGTTAATAATATAATAAGAGAGAAAAATAGAGAAAAGAAGCTTGGATCTCAAGATCCTTTATCATATGATAAAGATATTTCACAATCTAGTAAAAATAAAGTACAGAAATTCATGGCAGAAGTTTTTAAAAACTCTAGCTCATCTATTAGTAATGCAGACAATGATGTGATACCTACAACTCTGAATGAAACAGAATCTCAACTCAACAATAATAGCTTCACATTTTTATATGAAAAACTTTGTAATGCTATAATTCTCGCTGACCGTAAAATCCAAGAAGCAATCTTATGTTATTGTAATTTTGGCAAAGCTCTCATTCAAAGACATAATGAATTAGCATCAGAAAAACAAGTTGATCCAGAATCTAATACAGTTAGTAGAATTTTAAATAAGGAAGTTTGTGCTCAGCTCCCTGCAAATATTTCTGACACACTTTTATGGAAGAGAATTGAAAAGGCTAAAAAGCTCTACAAACTTTTCAGTGCAATAGGTATGGATAAAATTTATCAAATATATTCCTTTTCTACTAATAGTAGCTCAAAAATAACAAACAAAGATATTCAATATATTATAGATAACATACTATTTGATTATAGTATTAAGATAGAAGAATCAAAGATTCGATGTTTCACATCACCTACCCTAAAATCTGAATTCTCTGAACCGAGTTCAGGAAGTGATCAGCAAATTTCTTGCAAAAAAGAAAATAAAGATTTAGAATTTTCAGAAACAAAGGTAACTACTACAATTACTTCCTCTATCCTATTGTCTCACACTTCTAATTTGGGAGATGAGTTAAGTAATGATTGAGATTCCGATTCATCAGAAGTCAAGATATAGCTAAGTGTGCCCGATGATGAAGATTCCAACTATGATTACGATAATGAAGATTTTTCTGATGACAACAACAAAGATGATGATAAGGACGATGGGAGCTTCTGTAGTTTTTCTGATGACGATGAAGGTTATTATTATGATTTAAATACTAGTAAAACTTATACAAAATCAGAATATTGTTATTCAATTCGTGCATATTAATAATGACGTAATACTAATTCTCCAAATAAAAATTCATTTCGCAGAAAAATAATTAATACTTTGCTAGTTATATATTATAGTTTTGGTCAGATACGCATAAAAATAAAAAATGGCAAGCCCACTGAACCCTTTTTTATTTTATAAAAAAATGCTGAAATGGTATACAAATAAAAAATAAATCGTAGTTATATAGTGCGAATACATATAAATAAAAAATTATCTTTCATAAACAAGGATATGGATATGATTTCCCAGTCTATCAATTTTAAAATATTGTAAAATATTATTTTGTGGATCCATATATTTTTTTATATCTCGGGAGGTATCATTTATATAGAGATCAAAATCATTATAAGGAATGTTATTCTAATCATATTTTTAAGGCTGGCAACTGTTGTATTTGGAAGAATATTTGGGGGAATACTGATTGAATAATCACTGCTGACATAATAATTAAAAGTAATATTCACCATTTTTGCTTTCTAACATAAAAATAAATAGTAAGTAGAACTTCACTTTCGAAAAAAAACATATAACAAACAATGTATATTAACCAGATCTTGAGAGTAAATTTTAAATAAGTTAAGTCAAAAAATATATAAGAGCAATATTATTGCTAACTTACCTTGTAAGCAAATCTGCTTATTTTTATACCTCATATTCGTTAGGTCTGAGAACCTGTCAGAAGAAAAATTACAAGCTTAGTAATTATGTTACTTTATACAATGACAGACCACACTTAACAAAGCAACTCCATTTCGGTTGTAAAGCCCAAATACTAAATATATTTTAGCGTTCTTTTAGGGACATAGACCCCTTAGATTCAACGCTTGCTACTACCAAGTGAAAAAGTTAATAATCTTGGCGATCTGGAAATTCCAAGTTCCTGCGATATATAAATTTTGATAAAACTACTGATTAAGAACGTCATAAGCTTTCCTCTTATGGCCCTTCTAGGTCCTATTTGAGCTTATTCTTATTGCTAGATCGTATAAGGTAAGGAAAAAGCTATGTTCTATAATAAAATTGATTGTGAGAATAATTATGCAGTATGGTATTGCAAATCACATGCCTAATTTTTAGCAACTTTTTTATCTTTATGTAGTGTATTAGGTAAAAAAGCCTGGCAAGTTTGATAAAAATAAATTTATTTGGGTAGAAATGTTGCTTTGTGCTTAAATTACAATAACGTGGTTGCATTAAAATATATTTACAAATATTTTTGAAAACAAACCTGCCTCTCAAATACTCACAGCCCAGTATATTTTTCACGATGTTTATTCTAAATTTGTAGATGAGCTGATAACGATAAATAATTAAAGTGCCAATTTCAGTTCTAAAAATTGTAATACAGTATTAATCGCGTGTTGATCGAATATTCTGCATAATGCTTTCTCTACCGTATGACTGGACAATCTAGTAGAGATAAAGACATGATTAGGATTTATGGCTTATTGTTATCAGGCCCCTTGAAAACAAATATACAATTATATAAAAAAGGCTATTCAATACAAATATAACAAACCACATAACAATAACCAACTTGAAACATTCCTTGCGCTCTATATACATGAGGCTCAAATAAGTACGTATATATATAAAATCTTTTTTTTTTTACTTTTTATCTGAAAATTTTTACTAATCTTATGCTAGATAGTTTTTGTATTGATAAGACAGTTGCTAGAGCTATTTGTATGGGTATGCTTAGTCAAGCAAAAAATTTTATCTCTAATGTTGAGTGATAGGGCCTCTGACTATGTGTGTTGTGAGATTGAACATGCTTATAATTACCATTTGGTAGCCTAGTACTTTGGTGAAAGTGCTCGTTTGTTCCGCAAAAAATATGCAATCTATTTATCCTTTATAAAATAGTCTTCTCAGGTGTAGTTATAGCCTTTCGAGGCAGGCCTAGGATCTGACTATTACCTCCCTGCAATTTATTTTTTTCTATGCTTATAAAAACCCAATTTTAGAGGGTGCGATCATCAAATTATCATTTTTTGCATAGTAAGAAGTAGTGCTCGGCAAAATCAAACAAAAACTCGATTATCGAGTTTTTGAATCTATCGATTTATAGTATTGTGCTTCAATTATAAAATCTATGTTTACTCTTATCTGACTTTAAACTTCATGCTAGTTACCACGAAGTCTAAAGTAAGATCAGATTCCTGTTATATTTATATATATACTAAAAAATAAAATTTGTATTTAATGCACAATATTGTAAACTAATAGATTCAAAAACTCGATAATCGAGTTTTTGTTTGATTTTGCTGAGCACTAGTAAGGAGAGAAAGATCATACAGGCTTTCCGTGGTTTAGTCTACTGAACTACGAGATGAGAAATAGTTTGAATATATCCACCTCACTTTTTATTTATTATACTTCTTTCTGGGATAGTCATGCAAAAAATTTCATTTAACTTTAGACAATAGGGCCTTTGACTTCATATATCTAATCGATATTCATTTATTACAATACCTCTCACAAAAATTGAATCTGAAATTAAGGAAATATTAAGTTGATAAAATCTAATAGGCCTATAAACTGTATAATCGTTAAAAAAATTATTGTTGAATAATCCCAAATATGTCAGATCTTAGTATTTCTATTATTATCGACAAAAAAGATAGAACACTACCTAAACTCTTTAACAACCGTCCTGGGTATGATATGAGGTATGTGCAATCATATGTCTTAAATTATTGTAGTTATGGTGGTGAATAACTTGAATGACTTTATGCAACTAAAAGATTATATAACAACTTGTCTATCATAAGACAGGATGAAAATCTTATTCAATAGGCAGTACGAGTTAAAATCAATCTTCAAGATTTGTTACTCCAACAAAAATTTAGTATATATCACCGATTCTGCTTATTCACTTCTTATCCTAGAGGTAAGTTAGAAGATTTTAATTATTATAGACCCAAACCATTCAAAAATAGAACTGCGATTTGCTTTAGATGTTGGAAAGTAATTCGTGTTAATGTTAATATAAAACCTAGAAAGATACATCACTTCTCAAGAGGTAGATATGTAGAAATTCTTGAATCTAGCGATTTGATGATGGAACATTGAGATCATGAATGTGATAAACCAAAAACTGATTTTGGATGTGCTTGGATTATACAAAGAATATTTCACCAATTCAAAGAAAGGGAACCATCAAATGCATGAATTGCTTGGAACAGTTTGGCAAATGATAACACTCCAATGAGAAAAAATTTCTGTGTTTAACTCTTTGCAAAGTGAAAAACCCAATTTCTCTAGATCAAATTAAAATACGTCTTAATAAAGAATATAGCAAGTATATAAAAAAATATAATAGACTTTTATATATTGCTGAATTTGAAATTAGTAGATATCAGAAATATATTATTCCATACGATTGGATAGGTAGAAAGAAAAACCAATTATGGAATAGATTTCAAGAGCATCTTTTAAAACTTGAAACATAAATAAAATCGATTTATTAATATAATATTTTTTGTAGATAGGTAGTTGTTCACCGTTTTCCTAGAGGCAGAGCCTTATTGCTTTGCAATAATGCTATTCTTGAGATCACAATTGAGAAATATATTATGAAATTTCTGGAATAGAAAATACTAATATGAAATAAAAATCTATGAAGTGGGTTCAGCAGGTAATATATTTTTTATCTTATGCTTTTGCCGTAACTCTATCTCTTTTTGCAAATCTAGTAGAGTATCAAACCTTAGCCGAATTGCAAGTAGATCATCCCCAGGCCTATTTAGATCAAATACAATAAATTTGCCTTTGCATAAGTAGCTATTAATAACCATTGATGCATTTTTTACGTCATCTGTATATCTATGAATAATTTTAAAAACATTTTCATATGAACTACCAGAATTAAAAAGTACTA